ATACAAACTTCCATAATGTTGAACCGGTTCTTAATTATGAGTATGAAGCGGCTAATTACCATCAAGTATGAGACGACGTATTACCGTCAAGTATGAGACGACGTATTACCATCAAGTATGAAACGGTGTATTACTATCGAGTATGAGACGACGTATTACCATCAAGTATGAAACGGCGTATTACCATCGAGTATGAAACGGCGTATTACCATCAAGTAAGAAACGGCGTATTACCATCAAGTATGAGACGACGTATTACCATCAAGTAAGAAACGGCGTATTACCATCAAGTATGAAACGGCGTATTACCTTCAAGTATGAAACGGCGTATTACCATCAAGTATGAGACGACGTATTACCATCAAGTATTAGACGACGTATTACCATCAAGTATAAAATCGCAGAAAATGGTTTCATTTAGACGTGATAAAGCTCAACAGAGAGGAAAATGCCCGAATAAAAGTTTACTCTGCAACTTGAATCTTTGTCTTCGCCTTAATTATGCGTATTGATTCACTTGTAAGGTACTGACACTGGCATAAACATATGTGCATTAAATTTGCAGGGCAATAATCCATTTACAAGTTTCCAAAGCCCTTATCCTGTCACAAACTTTCAGGATATTGATCCATGTGTCACCTTTACCTGGGTTCCAAATGCTTGAGTGATTCTAATGTGAACTTTCATGCAATTGATCTCATTGCTAGCTTTCATACCATCGAGATGTTTTCAGGTTTGTAAACATTAAACCATTTGTAAACTTTCAGCCACTATAATAAACTTAGAACACTATTATTATTATTATTATTATTATTATTATTATTATTATTATTATTATTATTATTAAAGTGAAAAGTATTATGTAATAATAGCATTTTTCACTATGGTTAAATTGCATAAGATATCACATGTTTCTTGGCATTTATTGTATATATATATATATATATATATATATATATATATATATATATATATATATATATATATATATATATATATATATATATATATAGGTAGTAGGTTGGTAGACAGCAACCGCCCAGGGAGGTACTACCGTCCTGCCAAGTGAGTGTAAAACGAAAGCCTGTAATTGTTTTACATGATGGTAGGATTGCTGGTGTCCTTTTTTCTGTCTCATGAACATGCAAGATTTCAGGTACGTCTTGCTACTTCTACTTACACTTAGGTCACACTACACATACATGTACAAGCACATATATACACACCCCTCTGGGTTTTCTTCTATTTTCTTTCTAGTTCTTATTCTTGTTTATTTCCTCTTATCTCCATGGGGAAGTGGAACAGAATTCTTCCTCCGTAAGCCATGCGTGTTGTAAGAGGCAACTAAAATGCCGGGAGCAAGGGGCTAGTAACCTCTTCTCCTGTATATATTACTAAATGTAAAAGGAGAAACTTTCGTTTTTCCTTTTGGGCCACCCCGCCTCGGTGGGATACGGCCGGTGTGTTGAATGAAAGAATATATATATATATATATATATATATATATATATATATATATATATATATATATATATATATAAAACCTTCATTTAATTAATGCAGTGTAATATATGAGTACATATTGATAATTGCTCTGCATGAAGAATATCAAAGAATGAGGAAAATTAATATCGTTTGTGGATCTCCTGAGGTGTCGCTCAGGAACTCACAATCTCTGCATAACATAACAAGAGGTCTTCTATTTAGTCAGTAAAATATGTCACCTACTCTTTTAACAACTGTATATAGTGCTTAATGGAAAAAAATATATTTTTCTTTTTCATATATCTAAGAAAATGAAAGAGAAAGAGAGAGAGAGAGAGAGAGAGAGAGAGAGAGAGAGAGAGAGAGAGAGTGACAGAGAGTGAGAGAGAGACAGATAGACAGACAGAGACAAAGACAGAGAGCCTCGTCATTCTCTTCGGTTCTTCAAGACCCACAATTATGTTACGTGTCTCATTGAGATTTTAAATGATATTCAAATAGATATAATTGAAGCTGGACTATTAGAGCAATCAAACCTTCATATGTGAGTTATTAGTGATCATAAGCTGAGGAGACACCTGGTTCCATCTTGCTTAAGTGAATCGTCTCTCTGGGACTACCTTTGGCCGAGGTTAATATTTCCCTTCAGTGGCGTCACCCCCAGGCGATACTTGTGGCCGTTACCGCCTAAACCAATAAATAATATCAGAAGAATATACTGTGTGGTCCCAAGTGGGTGGTGGAGGCGAGGCAGATCGAGAAGAAGGAAGGGAGAGAGGGAGAATGAGATGGTTACAGTGATGGAGCATGGGAGGAAGGAAGAATGAAGGAATATGGGAGGAAGAACAAGGGGAATGATGGGAGAGTGATAGAGCATGAGACACAGGATCTAGAGAGATGAAGCAAGAGAATGATGAAGAGAGAAAAAGCTAACGAACGTGGGAAGGAAAGCAAAGGAACATTGGTATGAGGGAGAGCGAGTGAGTATGGTAGGGATGGAACATAGACGGGAGGGAAAGCGAGGAAGGAAAACGAAGGAAGGAAAGGGAAAGAACTTGAAGGAGCAGAAGGAGAACCATTCGTTCCGAGCTCCCACATAATGTATGAGAGCATCTTGGGGACAATGCTCCACTAAGCTCACCAAACAGGCCAATTGAGACTCTTAGGACAAGAAGGACCCCAGGTTGGCTCCCTGACCTGTGGGTATAGGCCAAGTTTAAACAACCAGGTGGGCTCACATGGGCACCAGAGCACGTTCTTGCTCCGCCTACCTCGTCATAATGTTTGCGGAACGCGCCAGGCCCGCGACGTAGCCCCGCCTTCAGCACCTACCAACCAATCTGTGAGCTTCGCGAGCTCGCTGGTAGGACGAACTAGTTGCTGCTAGCCACTCACAGAGAAACTTAGTGTTCTTGTAAAGCGAGGGGGCGTAACTTGTCGGGAAGCTATCGTGAGAACTCGAGCTTATTAGTTGTGAAGTGTTGCTTGTTGACATACCACGTGGACGAGTCTCTCAGTGCCTGTGGGAGACGCTTAAGAAACTCTTCACTCATAAATGTGGCCTTAGTCGAAGTCCGTCCAAGATTAGTTTTAGCGCAAGTGCCTCGCCCAGCAAGGAGTAACGACGACCTACACTCCGACTCAACTCGATTGCCGCATTCTCCGACCGAACGATCCGCTTATTGCCCCTTAAATTTGCCAAGGAGTGTCCCCGTTTCCGGACACCCAATGTTCTGTTGAGTTAACGTGAAATGACGGTAACAGGAGCCGCTATGATGCAGACGATGCAGCCCTGTTTTGTGGGATACCCATTCCAGG